ACATACGTTTTGCAAAGGTTGGTGCCATCTAAAATTATTTTAGTAACAATGCTTTGCAGGCCGGAACTGAGTGACTTTCAGTAAGAAGAGCAACTTCTCTGATCTTCAGTTTCTTTACCAGTAAAATGAGGGTGAGGAACCGTGTGCAGGGACCTTGCTGGCCTCGTGGTAAGAAGGTGCTCTGCACACTCAAAGGCTCGCGGTTTTCCTCCACCAGCTGCTCCTGTGAAGGAGGATGGGCAGGCTCCTCTCATGCCATTTGCTGCCTCTGAAACCCTGCTGAAGCGTCAGCTTTTTCAAGAGGTTGGTTGGGTATTTTCTGGGGGTTGGTAGATGTTGGGAAGGTTCTCCCCTTCCTAGCCTTTTACTTGGGGTGACTCAAGAGGTTCTGCTTAGGAATCGGTGCTGGAGACTTGGAGGCCCCTGGTAGAGCTGGGGGCCCAGCGCATTGATGTCGAGGTGAGTGGTTAAGCTAACTGCCAGCAGGGGGCGCCAGCGCATCACGCTCCACTGTCAGTTCCCAGCCCGCTTATCAGATCCTTTTTCCCCTCTTAGAATAGGGCTTTCCTGAAACTACGTGAATCTTCTAAATTGACATTTGCCAAGCTGATTAGCCACTGCAGCACCTCCTTCTCTGCTGCATCATTTTGCCCCACAGAAAATGGGAGTGCCTTGCAGGGGTCTGGGAACTGCTATTTCCTTCTGTCATGGGCCAACCCACCACCAGTTGCCAAATCCACGCTCCCATGTGTCAAGAGTAGACGTGATTTTCAATGGCTGATATTTCAGCAGTGGATTTCCAGGCCTTTCTTCTGAGGTACCTCTGTGGGTGGCACAAACTTCTAACCTTTTTGCTTGCAGTTGAGTTTGTTGGCTGTTCTCAATAGCCTAGCCCAGTCTGTTTTGATTCCTTTGAGACTCCAGCCCACCTCTCCTACACCTCAGGTTCCGCTGAACTACAGCGTCCCTTCAAACTCTCCTGGGAGCTGCCAGCAGGTGGTGATACCACAGCGACCCCAAGAAAAGGAGATAAGGTACCAGGACTTGGTTCATGCCCTGTGCCACTAGCTAGCAAAGTGTGGAGTTTATCTCTCTAACCTCAATTTCCTGCACCACAAAATGGAAGTAATATCCTACCTGACCAAGTACATAGAGGACACTTTGCAACAGGGGACAAATCACGGGCTGCTAACAAAAAAGGTCAGCAGTTTGAACCCACCGGCTGCCCTGTGAGCAAAAGATGAGGTAATCTGCTCCTATAAAGACTGAAGCTTTGGAAACCCAATCGAGGCTCACGGTGATTGGGAACCCACTCGAAGGAATCTGACTTCAGTACAGTTCAAATAAATACTCAGTGGGATGTTCTCCAACCACATGTCTAACAAACACCTTCAGTCACTAACTGACCAGTGAATCTGGATACCGACATTCATGAAGCCCTCACTGAAAGGTGTGACGTAAAGGTCTTCCCACTGACGTGTCATTCTGAGTCTTCCCAGAGAGCCCATCCATTAAACAACATTCCCACTCTCAGATGAGCATACTGAGACCCAGAGAAACTACGTGGTTGGTCCACAACACTTAGTGATGGATGCAAACTGGAACCCACACCTCTTCCCATCGAGGTGATTTGGACGCATGGCAACCTCACGTGTTACACAGCAGAACAGCTCCATGGGGTTTTCTTGCCTGCGGGCTTTAGAGAAGCGAGCTCCCATGGCTTAATGGCAAGGAATTGCATGGTCAACCCAAAGGCACATAGTTCAAATCCGCCAGCTGCTCCACGGGAAAGGCAAAGGCAATCTCCTCTTGTGCAATTTATTGCCTCTGAAAACCTGCTCAAGGGTCAGCTGTGAGTCAGTTCTGACTCGAGGATTAACAACAACAACATTTACAGAGGCAAGTTGCCTGGTTTTCTTTTACAATGATGCTGGATGGGTTTGAACCACTAACTTTGTACTGATAGCTAAGGACAAAGCATTTCTAGTTTGCAGGAGGATCCCAGTGATGGATCCAATGCAGCTCAGCTCATTGCTATGGAATCAGAACCAAGGGAGGCCAGCTGGGTATCTCACAGGCAGAGACCGCCTGTCCTTCTCCCTCGGGGCCAACGGTGAGTTGGAACCTCCCGAGAGTGATTGCCTTTGAGATAGAAGCACAGCCCCCTACAGATTCCGCACGTGCTCCCTGTACTGATGGCGCCAGATCTATTTCAATCTCAAGTCAGCCACCAGCTGACACTGCCGTCTGCTTGTTGAAAGCTGCCTCTGGACTCAATGGGCCTGGATCCAAGATGCTGGTCCCTGGGGGCACAGCCCTGACTTTGAAGCTGGGACATCCTCTGTCTCAAGTTATTTCCTAGAAAGGGCTCAACCCTTGATTCTCCTTAGAAGCTTCTAGAGCCTAGACCCTGCTGGCTCCTTCTCCAGCCAACTGCCTTCCAGTCCCTTCTGGTGTGAGTGCTGGCTGGCTCTGTGCCTTCTGCCTGCCTGGGGCCCATGCCTGGGGAGTTGTGCTTTGACCCTCCCTGGCCTCGGCCTGAGTTCTGGCCCCAACCAGCTGGCCTCCTCTGGAAACTAGAGATGCCCAATGGGTTCCACTAATCCTCTGGGCAGGAATGAGGCCTGTACAGGTGCTGCTGGCCCAGAGCCAGGGAGGTACCACAAGGACCTGCCCCACACCCCAGGACTTAGCTGAAGGCCCATGAGTAGTGGCTTGGGGACTCATATCCTCCAGTCCCCTTCCCTGTCACAGCAGCTCATAGTAACTCATTTGACCTAGAGTGGAGCAGGGGGACAAGGAAGAGGGCCCCCAGAGGGGAGAGTGAGAGAGCTGCACCCCTCATCGATGAGTTCTGTCATTCCTGTGACAGGGATGCAAGGCCCTTCACTGTCCCCATACACGAAGACTCATGGCCACCCGTGGGAGGACCTGTCCCTCACACTTTTCTGGTGCCTCTGAGGAGAGTGATAAGAGCCAGGCAGGAGGGGTGGAGCAGGCAAAGGATGGTGCCAAGCTCGCCTGCCTCACCATTTGTCTGCAGTCAGGGCCACAAGGTAAAGATGGATGGTGTGAAGGGCGGGCTGGGTCCTAAGTCCAAGGCTGGAGCTGCCAGCATCGTTTTTAGACCGAGTGGAGACTCCATGGCACAGGACATGCCTCTCTTCTGTCACCGCTCTTCTCCTGGTATGTTCCTATTTATGCACCCCGGGATGGCATTAGCCTTTGGGGAACCACTTATATATCTAGCTCCTGCTGTGTCTACAGCACCTTGAACTCCATCTTTTTTTTCACACGAGTTACCATCCTGAATGTGCACTCGTTCACATGAACCTAACTGTTCTTTCCAGATGTGGAGAAGCCCCTGTGACTGAGAGTGTGTGAGCAATGGCTGGAGCACCGGTTAGCATAGGTGGCTGTTAAAAAGAAACCTTGGCGTCCCTTCCAAAACAGAGCTCCAAACTCTGCGAACATTAACAGGAGAACTGCCCTGCGAAGCTAGAAAGTGGAGAGGAAAATTGGAAAACACAAGGGCTTGGAAAGAAGAGGGAGCCGGGAGCTGGAAGCTGGACTGGCCATGGTGACCTCAGGCCAAATCTCTCAGCTCTTCTGTCCTAGGCTGTCTGAGCTTCATGATGCTCCCTTAGTAAGCCCTCCACTGCTGCACCAAGGCTCTCCACAAATGATCTTTTTAAAAGAATTATTTTATATTGGTTTGCTTAGAAAGTTCATATGCCTTGTGTTTATCACTATTCTTCATTCACATTCATTATATTTAATAAAATTAATTACCCTAGAACTATGCCCACCATTACCCTGCCTTTCCAGATCCCTGCCGATCTTTCCCATTTCCTTTTACCATCTCCGTAAACTCCACAAATTATCCCATCTTTCTCCAAGTTACCTTGACTCAACTCTGAGCCAGGACCTGCGTAACCTCCATTCAACAGATAAGGAAGCTGAGGTTCAAGGAGGTTAACACATTTGCCTCAAGCTACTCACCTGGTTTTCAGGCTAATTCTAGGGTCCACATTCTTAACCACAGTACCACCAACCCCAGAGCACTCAGGAGACTCCTCCCCCCCAAAACTGGGGGTGCTCATTTTCCTTCTCCAAACCACAAGCGGATAGGTGCTGCCGGTGTCAGATAACACACAACCCAGCTAAGTGCTGGCTTCCGTGTGCTGACTTACTAAGCTGATGTGAACAATTACATATTTTTTCACCACATCAGAGTTTCCGCTTCCAGGTATGGTTGGCACCTGCCTCTCTCCCAAGCACACGTACCTTCCTACAAATTTACAACTCCTGGCGGGCATGGGGTACCCAGTAAACCAGTGAAGCACAGGCTGATATGTGTTTTCTCAGTTTCTTGTTTTGGGAAGTATCTTTGCTGACAACAGAATAGCAGGGAAGCACAGGGAAGCCCATGCTTACCTTAACTTACTGGGCAATCCGCCCTGGGGTGCTATGGCCCCCAGATCCACCTCTGGTGTCATACCCTATCCCCCAAGGAGAACTGGGGATCAACAGCCATCTGTGTAACCCTGGACATTGTTCCTGCCCTTTATTTGCAGAGCAGGGGCCATCACTGGACAAGACTGCCCAGCTGGCTGGTGATGGAGGTGGAACTTGGATCTCTTGAGGACACCTGTCAGGTGAGGGCAGGGCTCCCTGACAGGAATGAGGGGACCCTAGAAGGCAGGGAAGCACTTGAATAAGCCCAGCAGGTGAGCTTCCCGTCCTTTTCCACCGGGAACCAGCTGTGGTTGTGCGCATTCCAGTTCCCAAGCACGGTTTCCTGAGGCTGGGAGCTGCCTTGGTGGCGGCCTGAGTGGGCCGGCGGCAGGGACCTGGGGGGCGGCGTTAGCTCCCTGCCTACAGATCCCGAGTACCAGGTTGGGGAGGTGCGGCCAGGCAGGACCTCTGGACAGGTGTGGAGACGCAGGTGGGGTGGTAAGAGGTGCCCAGGTGGGCCCGCCCGGGAGCGGAGAACTCACTCGGGTACCGATAGTAGAAGTCATTCTCGGAGTCACTGGCGATGTTCCTGTGTTTCTTCTCCTCGGGCCAATGCGGGTCCGCCTCGATGTCGTAGCGCACGAACACGCCGAAGAGGATGACCATGGCCACCTCCAGGAGCACGCAGGCCAGCGGCAGGCGCCACCGGAGGTTGGTGTTCCAGGCCATGCTGCCGGGCGCCTGGCCGGGCGGGCAGCGGGCTGCTCAATGCGAGGGCGCACAGCGGCTTATGAACCTCGGGCTGGAGGCGGAGCAGTCGAGCCTCGAGTCTCCTCCATGATCCCGCCCAGCCCCCCGGGGGAAGGTGGCCAGGATCGCCTCCATCTGGCGCCCAGGGAGCCCCGGGCTGAGCTTCCTGCATGGAGCTGGGGGTCAGCTGTGTGAGGAGAAGGGAGGTGGGCGCGGTGGGCAGGGCGCCCACCTCCGGGAGGCCCGGCCAGCACTTGGAGCGCTTACCTTTTCCTGGTTTTTCCGGTGCGCGAGGAAGGAAAAGGTCCCTTTTCCTGCCCTAATGGGTAAGGAGTCGTGCTGCTCTAACACCAAAGTATGCAGATCGAATCCACCAGCTGCTTACGGCAGAGAGATGGACAGCTTCCTTCCTTGGATTGACAGCCTCTGAAAACCGGCTGGAGGGTGAGCTATGAACAGTTTCTGAATCTACAGCGAAGAGTTGAGTTCTGAGACAGAAAAGAAGAAAATTATCTTTTAAAAAAAATTGAGTGTAATAGTAGGCATAGATTAGTGGTAGTGAATTGCATGGGATACACTATATATGAATGCTTGTATGAAACACAATGTAAATGAAGGATTGTAAGGAATACAGCCTTCAATATAGATTGCATCTCAATGTCAAGAAAACAAAAATTCTTCCACTGGACTGATAGGCAACATCATGATGGATGGAGAGGAGATTGAAACTGTCAACTTCATCTTACTTAGATCCACAACTAACAGCCTTAGTACCAGCAGTCAGGAATTCAGGAGATGCATTGCACTGGGAAAGTCAGCAGTTAGGGAACTCTCCAAATTATTGAGGAGTAATGATGTCATTTTGAGGACTAAGGTGCACCTGATTCAGGCCATGGTCTTTCTGATCACTTGCTATGCATTTGAAAGCTGGACAATGAATAAAGATGACAGAAAAAGAATCTGTCGTGTTGTAGAAGAGCACTGAACATCCCACAGACTGCCAAAAGAACAAACAGATACATCTTGGAGAGGGTGCAGCTGGAGTGCTCTTTGAAGGCAAAGATGATGAGGCTTCATCTCACATACTTCAGGCATGTTGCTCGGAAGGGCTATTCCTTGGAGTAGGACATGATGCTGGGAAGGGAGGAGGGTCGGAGAAGGAGAGGAAGACCCTCAACCAGGTGGACTGACACAGTGAGTGCTGCAACGGGCTCTTGTGTGTCAGAAAGTGTGAGGATGGGGCAGGATAGAAGAGGGTTCAGATCTGTTGTTCATGAGTCATACTTGGCTTGAAAGTACCTAACAGCAACAACAACATGGAACATAATGTATAATGAATGAAACAATGTAAATTATTATATAAGAACAAATTTTAAAATCTATATTAAAAAAAGGTCAGTCTCTTCTTTTTTCTGATTACAAACTTAATGAAGGAGACACAGAAGGGAAAAAGACAAAGAAACTGTCACAGACCAAAAGTGACTAAAGAGATGTGACACCTAAATAAAATGAGGCTCCATGGATTGGACAATGAAACAGAAAGAGGATATTGGATGGAAAACGGGTGAAGTTTTAATAAAGGTTGAAGAGTGAAGTGTTGGTTTCCTAGTTCTGACAAATGTCCCATGGTTATGGAGGTTGGTAACAGCAGAAGAAACCCCATGAAGTATATCAGGAACTCTGTGCTATCTTTGCAACCTTTTTGTAAATCTAAAACTAGTCCAAAATGAAAGGCTTATTAAGAATAACATGCAAGTCTGTGTGAAGGCGGGTTAAGAATAGTTGAGGTGGTTTCCACTCTCTGCTGTTGTAAATGATGCTGCAGCAAACCTGGCCGTGGGTCCTCCAGTTTGTGTCTCAGGTCTTACTTCTCTGGGATAGATGCTTAGTAGAGGGATTGTGGAATCAAACAGCATTTCTACTCCCAACTTTCTAAGGAAGAGTGGGACAGCTTTCCATAATGGTAACATCATTTTACATTCCACCAGCAGTATATAAGAGAATCTCTCCACACTTTAGCCAGTATTTATTGTTTATTATTTTATTGAATATTGCTGTTGCTGCCAGGGTAAGATGATGCTCGTCGTTTTTGTTTTATTGGCCAGTTATATTTTCTCTCATTTTTTAAGGTATCAGAGAAATTGATTTTCTTTTATATTGTTATATTAGTGAAAGTTTACAAAGGGACTGGTTTTCATTCATTTAATCATACACATTTTTCTTCCTCACCATATTTGCTGCTGTTTTGATGATAAAGGTTTTAAGTCTTTCCTTATTAACCTACATAGGTCTTTATGAAAAAAAAAATGTGTTACTATTTTGTGAATGGCAAACGTAGTTACACTGCAATATTTTTTAATTAAAAGCATTAATATATTTAACATATGGTATAAGAATGTGGCATCAGGATTGGAGGAAGATTCATCAACAACCTGTGTTATGCAGATGACACAGCCTTGCTTGCTGAAACTGAAGGGGACTTGAAGTATTTGCTACAGAAGATCAGAGACCTTCAATATGAATTACATCTCAACATCAAGAAAACATCTCAGGGAGCTCTGGTGGCCTAGTGGCAAGGAGCTGCAACTACAATCCCAGAGGCGCACGGTTCGAATCCACCAGATGCTCTGCCGGGGAAGGAGGGACAATCTCCTTCTGTACCAGTCAGATCTGATTTGACGGTACACGCACACAAAAAATTAAAAAAAAAAAGAAAACATCTCAATATCAAGAAGACAAAAGTCCTCACCATTGGGCCAATAGGCAACATCACGATAGATGGGAGAAAAGATTGAAATTGTCAATTATTTAATCTTACTGGATGTTGTTGTTGTTATGTGCCGTCAAGCCACTTGCAACACGTAACAACTCTGTGTACAACAGTTCTGAATCCTGCCCTATCTTAAGACAGTCTCATTGTCTCAAATGCGCCTACCTCCATCACCCCAGCTACTGTGTCAATTCATCTCATTTGGGGTCTTCCTCTCCTGCACAGTCTCTCCACCCTTTCAAGCATGATGTCCTTCTCCAGGGACTGGTCCCTCCTGGCCATGTGCCCAAAGTATGTCAGATGGAGCTTCAGGATCCTTGTCTCCAAGAAGCAGCCTGATTTCATCCTCTCTAGGTTGGACCTGTTTGTTCTCTTAGAAGTCCATGGTATATTCAATACCCTTCTCCAGCAACACAGCTCTAAAGCATCCATTCTCCTTCTATCATCTCTAGTCATTATCCAGCTTTCGGACACATAGCAAGTAATTGCAAAGCCCATGGCCTGGATCATGCCCACCTTAGTCTCCAGACTAAGCCCTCAGGCCAAGGAAACAACACATATACCAAATCTATAAGATACATTGCCTCTCCTGGGAAACTACTCCCTTGTGACAAGAACATGCTCCAAATGGAAGAGGCATTAATACACAAGAAGTCAGTCCTGGAGGAGAAGTTCAAGGCAAAGGACTTTTCCTCAGAACCATCTGACATAGGTAGCCTCCCCTGATACTAGTACCTGGTGTTCGGACCTAGAGTCTCCTATACAAACTATTGCAAACACTTGTGAAACTCTGTCTTGATATAAAGGAGAAGTAAAATCTGTAGAACATTATTACTACTTGAATGCCCCTGTGACTGATTTTATTTTCATTTTAAATATAAACTTTTTTATGAAAAGTAAATAAAAAAGAGAGAGAGAGATACTGGCAACAGCATGGCATATTCAGAATCACAGAATCCCAGAAAGCTTGAGATATAAGCCATCATATCAAGGGCTGGAAGGGGGAGAGAGTTGCTGAATGGCATAGGCAGGACTAGAAGGGGATACTGGTGGAGCAGGGAAAGGAATGCGTCAAGACACACGTGTCAAGGGTGGGGACAACACTGAATCTATTGACCGCTTGTGTAACCAGAGAAATGTTTTTCATCTGCTTCTTTCTGTAAATTGCTTGTCTGTCAGATATTGTTCTAAATAAATCTTACTGGATACATAGTAAATACCCTTGGTACCAGCAATCAAGAAATCAAAAGATGTGTTGCACTGGGAAAATCTTCTATCTAGGATCTTTCCAGAGTGCTGAAGAGCAACAGCTTCAGTGTAAAGACTAAGATGCACCTGACCCACCTGACCCAAGCCGTGATCTTTCAATTACTTGTCATGATCTGAAAGTTGGACACTGTATAAGGATGACCCAAGAAGAATCTATGCCTTTTAATAGTGGTGCTGGAGAAGTGTATTGAATAACCCATGGACTGCCAAAAGATCAAACAAATATGTCTTGGAGAAAGTGCAACCAGGATGCTTCTTGATGGCAAAGATGGTAAAACTTTGCCTCACATACTTTGGGCATGCTGTTTGGTGGAACCAATCCTTGGGAAAAAGACATTATGTTTAGGAAGGTGAATGATCAGCAAAAGACACCCTCAACCAGATGGACTGACACAGTGACTCTGTCAGTGGACTGAAGTATGTCAGAGGTGATGAGGATGGCACAGGATAGGGCAGGGTTCAGATCCGTTATTCACAGTGCTGCTGTTTGTTGTAGTCAACTCAACAGCACCTAAAACAACAATGTACAATCATTTTAACAGCCTCTCCCCGACCCCTGGCATCTTGCCTTTCTTTAGAATTCCAAGAATATCAAGATTATTCTTAATCTAGGTGAGTCTCGCAATCTTGAACCAAGGAATAACCCCAGGAGGTTATTCCAGTCTAGAAACCATCCCTAATTCTTTTCCATGAGGCATGTGAGGCTGTCCTAGAAGGGCCTAAGTCATCTCTTCTGCTCCTGAAGCAGCAGCTGTGTGACCGGGGGCAAGGTCGTAGCCTTTCTGAGCCTCCACTCCCTCATCTATGAAGTGGGGATGCCGGTGCCCACGGCGGGGTCATGGTCGGGATGCCAAGATGCAGTTTAGTGAAGAGTCCAGCACAGGCCCTGGCACATGGTTTACATTCAGTACCTGCCCATTTCCACGTTGTTTGGAATGAT